GATCCACCTGCCTCGGCCTCCCACAGTGCTGGAACAGTAGGTGTGAGCCACCACGCCTGGCCTCAAAGCCATTTTTGAACTCTACTTCTGGAATGACCATCAGAACTGTCATCATAGAATGATGGTCACACTCTAAGGAGTAACAAGTAAGTTCGCGAACTCACCCTAGAAACACTGCTACAAACCTCAGTGCTGAATATCATTATGGGCACCTTCGAGGCACTCCCCTTGGGAGCTACGTACCAATGCCAGTGCTTAGTCCACCCTTCAGAGCAATCTTGGAATTCTTCTTCTGGAATTGCTATGAGAAGCGTCATCTCTATGGTCACCAGATGGCCCAGAGGAGTATTCAAAAGGGACCGTAGAGTTATTTGGCACTTTTTCTAATATGAGTTTGGGAATTTAATTGTCTAACTTGATAATTTACAGGCTGTTTTAGTCACAAGAGTAAGCCCAAGGTGCTAGGCAAACGGAGAAAAGGAGCTTGTAACTTAACCGGGAGTTGGGGATGGTAAGAGGTGGCTTCCTGGAGGAAGTAATTAATCCCTGGCCTGAGCTTCTCAGCCGGGAAAGAGCTGAGAAACTGGCAGCCTAAAGAGAGTGGACGGTTCCCCCTGCTGCGCTGGGAAGGGCATTTGGCCAGCTCTGGGAATTCCTGCTTGAGAAGTCAGAGTGCATGCCAGTCCCAGCGAGCTGAATGTGGAGGGTGGAAAATAGAACTAATATCTATACTTTTATAAATGGGCGCTCTTTTCTTTCCAGTCTGTGTGGGAAGGCTCCGTCTTTAGTTACACTGCCCTCAAAAGGTATACCCTGGCAGCAGGAAGAGGGATTTGTAACCTTCGTTGGTTATTCTTTTAGTTTCTAAAACCTTTCTCCCTGTGAGTAGTTCTGCCTATTTTCTTGTATTCCCCATTGTTTTCTTAGTTTTAGTTTTTATTTCGAATTAATATAGACTGAGAACAATGTCACCTACTAAAAATAATCATTTTAATTATTAATTAATTATTATTTCAAATGAATATAAAGTTCCAGCTCACTTCCAGGTAACGTTCAAGTTGTAGGAGAGCCCCTCACCCGGGGGGGGGGGTGCTGAACACCCTGCCATGTGCACATTATCTTATGTAAACCGTTCTTACCATTTAAGGCAGCAGTTCTCAACCTGTGGGTCGCGACCCACAGGAACTGTATTGAAGGGTTGCGGCATTAGGAAGGTTGAGAGCCCCTGGTTTAAGGTCTTTCTCTTCTCCTAAGGCCTCACTGAGCATTGAGAACATCGGGTTGCCATGGGACAGACTAGCTGTGGTGCCCTGCTCACTAGGAGAAGCTTACTCAGCGTATATGCTTTCTGGAGATCTCGGTCCCGAAGTTGGACCTACTTGGCACTTAGAAAAGGAATTGAGCTTTAGGAAGGAAGAGTGGTTTGTTTCTACATTATTATTATCTGTAAACCAGACCAAGGTCAAAGAGGCGGGAGAAGCCGGTTTAGCTTTGTAAGTCATTGTCAACATTATTTGGGGTGTAAAAAGTATATCAGCCTGTGTCAACTTCCAGAATTACCTTTCTTTTTAGTTGTCCCCTCTGCTGTCTACCACACCCTACCACCTATGGCATGACAGGCCTATCCTATCGAGTTGACAGTATTGTAGAATTTTCGAGTCGGGGGGAAGCTTAAGTTCTGAGTGGAGGAGGCAGAATTTGATCCCAGCTAATCCAGAGGGAACGTTGGGGTGAGAGAAGGTGCTGTATTTTTCTCTACCTGTGTGTGTGCTTTTCTTTCCAGGACTGCTGATAAGCTCAGGCTGTGCCTTATACCCCTTAGGATGGAATAGCCCGGAGATAATGCAAACGTGTGGGAATGTCTCCAATCAATTTCAATTAGGTAAGGTGGCCTGGGCAGGATGGCAGTAATGGTTCATGGGAAATTTGTTTTTCTTCCTCTTGGAGATACCTCTGCTTCCAAATGGTACTTGCCTGACTCTCTCTCACTCTGTTAGCTTGTGGGAAGTGGTCGCTTGGCCAGACTCTT